ATATCGTCAGCATACTCCAAGTCAAGAAGTCATTCTCCTGGGAGCAGATCCACACCTTCAAAGTCGTGTCCTGTGAACGCAGTCATCATGACTTCATCAATAGGGAAGTTGGACAGGAAAGGTGACGGAGGGCTTCCTTGTCTCACACCGCTGGAGATATTAAAGGGCGACGACAGCTTGCCGTAAGCCCTCACTCTGCCCGAGATGCGCGCGTATAATGTTCGGATTATATTCACATATTTCTCAGGTACACCTTTCCTGAGTAGACAGTCCCAAAGTGCATGTCTATCCACAGAATCGAATGCACCTTTGGTATCCAGGAACACGACAACGGTGGGCCGCCAATGTATGTGACGGTGCTCCAACAACTGACGCAAAGTTCAGATGTGATCAATACATCCACGACCTCGACGAAACATGGCTTGCTCTTCACGATTATGGCTTTCACGAGTGCCAGTCAGTCTGTGAAGGATGACAGAGGCAAGTAATTTGGAGGCAATGAAGATCAGACTCATTCATCCATGGCTGCCGTAATCCGCTCTTGAATCTCCCTTGAAAATTGGGACTATGGCGAAGCGGCTACAGTCGGTTGGGACAGTTCCCTGCTCCCACACTTTCACTAGTAACTCATGTAAGTCATCCACAGGAGCAGGTCCTCCGAATTTGAAGAGGTCTGGAGGAAGATCATCTGGTCCTGCGGCTTGATTTAACTTCGACAGTGCGATCTTACTTTCGAATTCTGAGAAAGAGGGTGGTGGAGCGGAGCCATCAGTGGCCGGCGAGAAACTTAACAATTCCGACCGATTGAATTGCCTTTCAAGGTGCTCAGCCCAAAGCTCCATGCGTTTTGGCAAGTTGTGGATAGGCTGTCCACTCTCGTCACGTATAGTTGCACTAACACCAGGTCTCCTGTTGCCCGTTTCCCCTATCTGCCGGAATAACTTACAATGGTTACCAAGGGCAGTGGCCATTTTCATCTCTGAAACACAATGAGACCAGGATTCGCGATCTCTCTTCAGGCTAGCGTGGAGTTTTGCCCGGAGTTCTGTGCGAGTTTCATTGTGTTTGCTTCCAGAGGAATATGTCGGAGAGCGCCGATAAGTTCCAGAGACTGCGAAGGCACCCAATGTCCATGTTGGCGATTAGACTTACCACATGAGGATTTCCCTGCTGCTAGTGAGGATTGGAGAATATGAGACAAGTAAGCTTCAATTGCATCCAGTGAGCGCCTACTCAACTCGCATGCCTGTGTACTTTGATAGGCATTCAGAACAGCTGGTTTCGCCAGTTGGCTAGTGTCAATGCGCTCACGCCGTCGTCGTGGGCGTCCGCCAAAACGCATCCGCAGTCAGCACATACAAGTGCATGGTCGGTGTCCACACATGTGCCCCAACCCGAGCGACAGTTGTGGACGCAGCCTCTCCATCGGTAACTTATCGCAATGTGAGCGATTTGCGTCCCAGGCTGCTTCGAGGCTAGTGGTCGCCAAGTCACCCTCCGGCGGGTGCTGTGTCAGAAATTAGTGATCGCAAGAAATAAGCGAGCATCTTCACACAAATAAAGTAACCGCTCACCGTTATCACTACGGGAGCCTACACTATGTTGGCCACCCAGGTGGAGTTCATCAGTGGATGATTTTCCAATTTGAGTGTTCGCATCCCTAGCTAGCACAACGGTGTCCGTGCTTCTTCTGTGCCGGAGGAGCTCGTTCAATTGGCTATAGAAGTCGTCTTTTACCGAGTCATCGCTAGAGTTTCTGAGTGCATAGGCAGCGATGATGAATAGGCACCCATTTGTCCCACGCGACTTCGAAGTTTTGAACGAACCAGCCAATCGGACCGTACGCACCCGGCTACTAATTGGGATCCAATCAACCAGAGTAGCTTCAGTCCGGGGACTCAGGGCAATACCAACACCGACTTGGCCGGTGCTCGAGGCTGCATCGTCACCGGATAGGCGCAATGAGAAAGTGCTGCTAATCTCATCTGAAGGGGATCGCATAGTGAGTACAAAGGTCGAGTCTTGCAGGCGGATCTCCGATAAGCAGCAGATATCGATCGAGAGGGTCTCTAATGCCCGGGTAAGTGCTGCTAGTTGACCGATCTATAGTAATGTGCGAACATTGAGGCATTCCAATCTGAAGGAGGATCGAGGGTTCCAAATGGAAGCCGATGAACTGGAATGGGCCGCTTGCTTGGACATGGACCTATGGACAGGGCAGGAATGACACTCCGCGTTCACATATGAGTTGAAACTAAAAGGCAAGCGACTATTGAAGCAAGGTGCGGGAGGGCCGAGAATTGGGGGGTTGAACACAGGAGGGATGAAAGTGAAGCTGGAACGGGACAATAAGGGTGAAAAAGTGCAAGTGTGGAAATAAGAAGACGGGAAGGCTTGAGCAGTAGCATCCAAACCCCTATCCACCCTGCCCGATGCAGCGGATAGTGCACCGTTGATTATCCTCTGCGGTGGCCAGATCATCACAAATTTGTTTGAAGTGAGATACATTGTATTGCGTGGGCAGGATACGGTCAGGTTCCCCAGGTCTGGACAGGAGAACGATTAGGGTTCTCAACCAAAGTCTTTGGTTCAAAAACCTGGCCGCAAGGCAGCGGGTATGGCACTGGGCTACAAGGATTCCGTTTTAAGGTATAAGGAGCCACCTCATTCCAACCTCCAACCTGGAGGACCAGGAGGCTGAGTTTGTCTGGCCTCTAACCATTGACCAATCTGGTATGAGTGACTCTGAAGGTGCAAAAATTCACCACCCAGCATAGCTCAATGGATCACTGAGGCCCGCAAACCATCGCATCACGGTAAGGTCCAGCCTTTAAAATACAAAATATTGTCGCAAGACTTAACCAAAACACGAACAGTCTCTAGAAGTTGTAAAACACAATGTTGCAAAGAGATCTCTTTTCGGCAGTTCACATCAGGCAAATACAACTACAGGACTGAAAATGCATTAGTAAACTGGTGCAAGCAATAATGAGGATGGATGGGACGATTTGAACAGTTTTAGCATGTTCATTTGATGCTCAAATCGATTTAATCAGGTGACCTCGTGATCGGGCTAACCGACAGCTAAATAACTTGTGTAAACAGAAAAGGCAAAATTACTAACCAAATAAAATTAGTTAATTAGGCAAATAAATAGCACCCGGTTAAGCGAGATACTTCGGGGAACCTTATCATCAGGGCCATGGCAAAGTCAAGGGTTGCACAAGCACCCTATGTTTGCATAGCTCTGGTTGTGTTATCCGGATCGCGATGGCTTTAGCTGTCTGCAGGAGGCGTTTCCTTAGCCCTTTCGGGTATCGCCTCGGTACGACGTAATAGACTTTGAAAGCATCTTTTGTCAAAATCTGATGCCCACTAAGAATCAGATGTTCCATACTCGAGCTGTTGATACTTCTGTGCATGCCTCTCCGCAATGACCCTGGACAATGTTCAGCCATTCGTACCGACAGACGCCTGGTCGTATGCCCGAGGTACTTTGCACCACAGGTGCAAGTAAACTGGTAAACAATGTACGATTCGGACGATACTGGCAGTCTGTCTTTAAGACGTTGAGCTTACCTTGGTATTTGTGTCACCTCTGCTTGTCGCATTCCTGAGGAAGTTACTTCGCATATAAGCAAAGCCCGTTTAACATTTCATAGACTCAACCACTTTCGGAGACGGTGGGATATCAGCTTGTCAGTGAAGCGTATTGTGTATGATGCTGCTATAAGGCCGGTGTCACTGTATGGATCAGAGACCTGGTCATTTCACAGTGAAGACATTAAACGATTAACCGTGCGTGATCACGGATGCTTGTGGAGTATTGCTCACATCTGGTGGGAAGAGCGGATGTGCATTGCTGATACCGGCCAGTTGGTTTTTAGCAAGAAGCGTTCTGCTGCCTCACTCGAGTGTTTGCTTAATCTTAACCGCTTACATCGGCTAGTCGTTCCCTCCGTATGTTTGCCGCCCGGTTTTCTCTGCATGCATTATACGCCGTCGCTGCACCAAATTGGACTAAACCGCAAGATCGTCAATCGATGACGGGGCATGAAGGTATTAAGAAATTTACTGATTGACTTGGTCAGGCCGATGCTTGCTGTATTCATGGATGGGGGCCCCGGGATGATCCGCACCAAGTGTTGGCAACACTATCGGACACAGCGCAGTCAGTGGCGCTCTTACATTCGCCATCATCATCAGCATACATCCGCCATTTGAACTGATGCTTCACTGCCGTACAACCACGGTGACCTATTAAGCGAAGGATAATAACAATAGGGAGAGAAGGGGACCTAGCGTAAAACTTTAATGCCCTAAGCAAACATTCAGGGTCAAGGCTCCTTGCCAACAACATATCTTCACAAACGGTTTGCTATCATGCAGAGATAAAGCGTATTGGTGTGACAGCTTCCTTGCGGGTTTTCTGCCACGCGTCATAATCAATCATGACCCCGCAGGTAATTCAACTTCACACACACTTTAAACAGACAGCCCCACTAGGAGAGGACAGCAGACACCGCCACGGGTTCCGACTGCAAGCCATTTCCCACAAACTCTTTAGTTGAGCGCAAGGCGAGTCTCTTGCATCTAGCTGTTATGTTTCATTCCTTCCAGACAAATTTTACGCACTTATTTCTTGATCCTATTCTCTTTGCATTCATCTTCGTTTTCTTATCGTCGGTATTTACTGTTAACCTGGCGACGTTAGTCGTGGCAATTGGATCCATCGCTCCTCCATGCTTGGATTATTTTTTATCAACTGAACTGATCGTTAAGGGTTTTTCTATCTTGATTCGTTTACATTGTTTGCATGCTTTTGTTTTTTTTCTTTGTCCCAGTTAGGCTTTAACTGTCGCATAACCTTGCCAACTTAATAACCCTGGTTTTAACATTTAATATAACTATTCCAAGACTACTTTTAATATCTACAGAATGAAGTGTGCCCATTGACTACTAGAAATTACCGCACTTTCCAACTTGTTTTTCTGTCACAGGGTTGTGGCAAGAGGTTTTCCCTCGACTTCAATCTTCGTACCCACGAACGCATTCACACTGGAGATCGGCCATACATTTGTCCATTCGAGAACTGTCACAAACGATTTGCGCAGTCGACCAACTTGAAATCCCACATCATGACACACGCCAAAGTTCGGTACCGGTATGTATGGTTTAAATTTACAATGATTTACGTTTATCTGTTTATATTCGTTAGGCGACGTAACCTCTCGATTACTTTCTATTAAATCACAGAATTTTTCTATGATGCTTTTTTTCCTTGTCCGAATATTCGTCAAGTTTTCTGGTTTATTGTCAAATGATACACTAGCGAACACTTAGTTGTCTACTAGCGACCAAGCAATTTCATGACCATTAATAGACTTTTTCCAATAACACCTGGATGTTTTTTCTGTGGTGCGCGCCTTACGATATTAGCATTAACGGTCGCCTACATTACTCTCTGTTCCTTATCAATCTACTCAGATTTGTGTTCTATTCTTGATTTCATCGACCCAAAAACTTTATGGCTTTGCCTTCCTTCTACATCCACCTTGATCTCTTCTCTAACTACTTTCCTGTCGCTATCCAGTTCAGCTCTTTTCGGTCTTCTGAAATTGACCCCCATCATCGCAATGTGGTTACCCGTGACTCATCTCCATTCTTGCGACAATTGTTGCCGTCCACGCAAAAGGGGACTTAGAAAGGTGTGGACAATATTTTGGTCATGATCGATTGATCGAGATAGCATTGTCGAGCTGAAATGTCAAGTTTTCAACGCATTAGAATTAGCGAATCTTTTGCGTTTGATTTTCATGTTTGCTGTCTTTTCACCTAATCATTACCGTTTATTTCATGGGCGCACTTCTCCGGCAGACGCGTTCCATCCTTTAGCATACACTCCACTGTCCACTTCATGGTTTCACCCGGTGAGTTTCCTTGTGGATGATGGAGCGGCGTAGTAGGAAAGAGCCCTAATCTGCTTATGTGAGTTGACTCCAGCAGACCATTCGATGCCAGGATAGAGATTTCGTTACCCAACCCTTATTTGCAAGCGCTAGCATAACGCGCTCTCCCCTTCTTAGGCACCTGACAGGGACACTGCACCGCTGACAGCGGTGATGGTTTTTTTCTGTCCACAAAAGCAATATCTATTACCTGTACATTAGAAACGGCTGCACCATATCTTCGTACGGGGTCGTCAGCAGTACACCGGCACATCGTACCGACGCTTTCCTGCCACGCAACCGTCAGCAGTCGCACATGGGCAAGGTATGCTGTGAGGTCAACCCCACATAGACGGGTTAGAACCGGTGACCTCTGAATTACGAAGTAAACGTGTATTCCCTTCGGCCATCAGCCTAAAGTTTTTCTTTCGCCTGTATTGTGGTCTTACGCGATAACGCGTAACACTTGCCGGCTCGTAGCCTTTCGGCTCAGAAACCTGTCTTGTAATCCGAGAGCGCGGGTTTGAACCTGCGACCCTCGCAGTATCCATAGTCCACATGCGACTGGTCGTGGTTGCATGGCAGTGAAACGTCCGTACTGAGTACCGGCGCACTGCTGATGTCTTTCTTTATTTTATTCTCCACCGCATGTGATACAGTTTCCTAAACGGATCGCTTGCATTGCTTTTTCGGTTATAATGACAACCCACAGATGGTAGGTACTAGTTTGTTGAGGTAAAAACCACATTCCCAAGCTTTTCATCAGATGGGAACTCAAAATTCGTGGAGGCAATCGATCCGGCCACGATGCAGCTTTCTCGTATGCATGTCCCAAGTTCGTCACCCGCCTCCACTACTTCATACGCCACCATTCATGATAATTTCGATCACGTAGCATCAAAAGAAAACTCACTTACTATGATTCCACATCCACATTTTCCTGGCCGCGAGAACGGCGGCACAAGTTACCTCATGGTAACGAGGGATCCCCCCCCCGCGCTCATCACAACAAACACACATTTGTTCTTCGAGCTTGGCGGTTTTGTTGCAAACGTTTTGCCACCATGCGAGGTGGCATCCTCAAAGCAGTGAGATGCGGCATGCAATCTTACTGAATGAATCGTCCATCTATGATCGACCTGCAGGTGACTTTTGAATGTGCCATTCTCGATTTGGATCTCGTGACCTCTACCCACGACTGAAGGCGGCGCCCGGGTTGTTCTGCCTTAAATCGCGTGACAAAATGTCCTGTATTTCTTTCTGTCGAAGTGGTTGGTATATTTAATCGATCTCGACGTGCATGTTGATTGTCTTTCTTTGAGAATCAAGCTTTCTTGTTTCACCATGTACCAAAACTCCTGTTTCGCTCCAATCGAAGTTGTCCTTCAACTACGTGCAATGCTTTGCACAGGCTTTTTTATGTTCTTGTATCCTTGTTGCTAGTTTCCCGTCTGGCCAATATAATCCCTTTCGCAATCTCGGCAACATATTTTGTATTCCACATTGCGTTGTTCATGCCCCTGCAGTTTTTCTTTTGGTTTTGACAGAGTTTTTCTCAACGTGGCAGTTAGTTTGTTTGCTATGATGAGATAATGCTGTTTGAATTGTCTGGCTGCCATTTCCAATATGTTCTTCAAATAAGGCAGAACAACCCGTCTCTCCGTTGTTGTTGTTGTTGGTGGTGGTGGTGATGGTGGTGGTGGTGGTGTTGCTGCTGTTGTTGTTGTTGTTTTTGCTGCTGCTGTTATAGGCTGTCTGTTTACCTTGTTGTGATTCAGACACTTTCGGTTGAAGCTTCGAGGGTATCCGTTGAGTTGGAAACATTTAAATAGGTGCTTTTCTTCCTCTTGCTTTGCTTCTGTGGTACTGCAGTGTGTTCGCACTCTACGAAACAGTGTCCGCACATAACTTACTTTGTGTGCCTTTTCTTTAGACCGATGTTTGCAGCTCGCCTTCCATGGTTCTTGTTACTAATACGTCCACCTCGCACTGTGCTGAAACATTTGCAACAAAACCGCCAAGCTCGGAGAACAAATGGAGATTTGAACCATCAACCCGAGCTACCAGCGTTCCGAAACATTTTGAACACTTCCAAGTTTTCGGCATCACCACAAGCGGCTCCGATTTGTAAAGAGGAGACGGTTGTGAGTGGGTATTTATACAGACAGCGCTTATTAGGCAGCTGGTGCACAACGTGAGCGTAATCACTACGTTCCGTATCGGGCTCACTTCATTCTTCGTGAAGTGTACACTACTGCAATCTTTTTGCGCGCACTATTTTTACTTCTATACACAATGCGGTTGAGATTGTACCAAAGTTTGAAACCGTAGTGGGCATTTGATATGTGCAGTAGGGTTTCACAAAGAAAAGCTTGTGTGACGCGAATTCCGTCCTTTGGAGTCATTTTCCCTTCTTGCTGACCGTTGGAGCCAGCATTTGGACGATAATCGATATTTGGGCAGTGTTTGCGATGCTTTATTATCCTTAGTGTTGGGGCTCTGAAGACGTCTGGCTTCTAACCGCTTATAGTAGTCTGGTAACTGATCTTTAGAACAAGGTACCAGTGTATTGTTAAAGCGGCGACACACATACAGCTGTTTTTCTTGACTTGAGAGCCACCTTCGATTGTTGACCGCGCCAGCTTGTGGCACTGCCTATTGTTATTTTTTTCTTGTAGTTGTTGTACTAAGATATAATAAGAATATTACACACCTCACTCCATCGGTTCCCTGTGAAGCCGTTTGACTATGTGAGTTTATACTCAGCTAGGTAACTATTCTTCTTGCAGTCTTCCCAGTAAATTCGGTGCCCCTGAGCCTAACATTCTAGGACGCTATTGTGAATGGCACTCTTAGGTTACCCGAGATGTTACCGTTCAGAGTTTGCTCCCAAGTCACTCTCGTTAGACATGCGACTGTTATCACGTCACAATCAGCGTTTCATCATCACCACAAGGTGTTTGCTATCGGACCTCTGTTTGTTAACAACAGCTAATACGTGACATTGCCACCGTTCGTATTTTACACTTTACACCTACCAGTTTTGCACTTTTTGTCCGAATCGTTCACTTACCGCACCGTCCATTGCTCTGCCTACTTGACCTCATTACTATCTCTTATGGGTCTGTTGATGTGTCGATTCTTGTTATTCTTGAATCCCATTATACACTCGTATTCTGTGTTCGGTGCTTAGCATTGGATTTTTTAGCTTTCATTTTCAAATGCATATTTTCGACTGACCACAATATCTTTGTTAGTCACGTTTGACCTCATCGCTTGCTTGTTTGCACTTCCACCCAGGTCTCACGCCTCCTCCGAGAGTTCTCGCAACCCAGAGTACCTATCGGAGATGGATGAAATACAACTACCGCAGTCGTTATGCTCAGATACCGCCATTTCCGCAGGTCCCGGATCCCCGGACAATACGGAAGACTCCTTCAGTGCACTTTCTGCAAATCCCACCTCTTCTTACTCTAGGGTGTCGAATACACCACCCGCTTCTGTTCAGGGGGAATTGGGATCGCCTAGTCGTCTTCGTCTAACTGCTGATAGTGGTCTTTCACTGGAACGCTCTCAAACTACGATTAATCATCGGAAGTTTCCAACACATTCCATCTTGGGACCTTCTAGATCACCACGCGCGAAATGCATTAAGACGACACATCCCCATACAGGTAGCCCTTATCTATCTTCCATGAACTGTGTAGATCCCGCAATGGTAATAAACCATCGTTTTGTCAAATATTCGTCCGACATTCATCCAATGAGTCAAAACATCTTCATTGGCTCTACCCAACCTTCTCGTATCTGTTCTCTAGAGGACGAACGCTCTTCCATGCTGACTCAGTTATGTGTACCTGAATCGTTTGTGTTATGCAACCAAGCGTCTCCCATGATTATTCGGGGTCAGCGTCGAAGAGTCATACCAATTACTGGGCAGGTTCTTGCCAATTGTGCAGTGTGTACTCGGAAACCCGTCCCGGTTTTCCATCTCTCTTCCCCTCGCACCATGCTTCCCGTGAATAGACTGCGTCAACAAACATAGTCGTCTGCTCACGCAAAGGACATTTTGTGATACTAGGAGTTCTTGTGTTCTAATTTGGGATTCACATTACTAATGCCTCTTGTTCGAATTCGTCCGTGGCAACTATTTGCAACTCAATCATTGTTGGTCATTTTTGCTTGCCTGGTAGTGCAGCACAGACAGGCGACCTAAGTATTTGTCTCTTTACCAGCTTTCCTCCCTATCTCACCGCAACACAAGGTGTCCAGTCTTCTTTCTACTTCCTCCCTTTTTTGAACTCCATTTGGAGAAATCTTTGTACATAGTTTGTACTCAGCTTCCTACAGGAATTTTCATTTTTACCGATGTTTCATCTCGGTAGCACAAATGCATCTTACACCGGCAAACATCATTGCATGGCTTCATGTGTTTGCATCCCCCTGTGTACAGTTTGGTTAACGTTCTCATCCTCATTTTATAGTTCCACTAATCATTGCCTCCTGTTAATTTTTACCTACCGTGTTTTCGAACTGCGAAACCCACTGTTCACCAAATTTTGAGAATAATAGCTTTGTATTACTCGTCTGTCGAGCCATGCGTTGCCCACATTTCGATCCTCCAGGTGGAAATTCCAGCTCGATCTCGAGATTTTTACTTAGGCCGCATTAATCTGTACAACAACGATCGGAATCAATACTTTTGAACTTTTCACCGTTCATTTTACTCAATAGTTATGCAGCCCCATTCGCAACGGCTCAGTGTCAATCAAACCGATTTGAGAGTATCCTTCGTCCACAGATTCCTTATACAGGTTATAGGTCCTTTCTAGGTGAACACAAATCGGCCACTAAACGAAGTGTTTCATTCCAAACTGCGTTTTTCTAATGCTAGCAACCTGTGTCAGCTTGGTCGATGGATAATACTAGTCTTCGCCATCCGTTCTCACAAAATCGACGTCGACTGGGTTCTACATCCATGCCTGTTGACTGCACCAGATTAGCTACTCTTTGGATACCTAGCTCAGACTCCAATGGTGATAAATTTATGTATCTTATTTCCGAGTTAATTACACGGGGTACTTAAGATATCGGTTTTGTCTTCAGTAGAAAGGCCGAAGGTGACTACAGGTGAATTCCAGTGGATGCGTTGTTTCGCAGTTCAGGTTCAAAACTGTGCGAGTACATTGGATGTTGTGCGAATGAAGTTACAGTTCTTGTAGTCGGATTGATCTTTGCTTCGAAAATATAGCTTCGCGGTGAGTACGCAATCACATGACGGCTATAACGTCCACCCCTAGGTTTATGAGTAATGCGTTCCAAAAGAGTGGACAGTTGCAAGGGAGCTGCGGTTGTCCATGAGTTAATCCTCGACTTTATACTATCTTTTCGACGGTAAGAAAAAACTTCCCGCGACTAACACATGCGGGAATAAAGGTCTATTCCCATAGGCCGCTACCTGATGCAAAGGTTATCGACGAGGTTGTGCATCCACTGGCTTAAACTCAGGGCGAGTCCGATGGACGAGCGTTGATAGTTCTGCGAGGACCCGTTAATTGGCGAGGGTTTGAGTGCCGCTGCTCTGGTTTACTGGAGTAGATCTTCACTGCTGAATGAAGGTTCAAACGGCTGCAGCAACGATGTACGCTAATCGTATTGTTCAAATCAGTGTCATCGAACTTGAATATCGCTGCAAAGAGGCACTTGTGTTGTCTGATTGGAGGGACACAACCATGAGAAAATGCACGATCTCGGAAGGTACACAGGGCATAAGAAACACAGCTGCTCAAGCCAATATGTGACTGGTTTAGGTACCAATCATATGCTTCCAGTGAATGGTTAAATATGGTGTTACACTTCGGGGAGATGTGATACACATTCAGAAACCATAACTCCTAGCCACTTGTCGAAAACCAAAATGACGCGTTAAAACAAATTTGAAAGGATAAAGAGAGCTGGTTTAATCACGAACCGTTGCATAGCGCCTACCTGAATTAGCCGTTCCTCTACCGGAGACACCAGTTGTTTGTTTTTGATTCCTGATTTCGTTCCTTACGTGCGCCCGGTACTTTTTCAATTTTGTGCAGAGACTGATCAACCGGAGACACGATGTTTCTTTAGCAGCTACACCTTGCATTCAGTTGTGCCCTTGGAAGAGGCTGAATTAACACTAAGCAGGGTTGCAGGGGGATGGGGTGAGACGTCAGTGAGTCTTCGTCTCACAGTTCAGTCACTTCTGATAACATCAAATCTGAGTCGATCGGTTAGGTAACAGGCTCTGGTATTCCACGCCGGTGATTACGGTCTTTCCAGCGAGCTGACTGACCATTTTCAGAAAGCCGCCACAGGTGTCGTGTGTTGTCTTAAAATAAAAAATCTTCAGTCTCCTCGCTAAAGTTCCACATGCTTTTGCAAGTATTGATTTATTTGTGGTTTCACCGAACACCCACCCTCCAATGGTAAACACAACTAGACCTACTGTGGAGCTTGAAGTACTCGTGGCTGACACAGCCAGCTCCGGTTTTTTTAATATTCTTCTCTGGGCCTATTTTCCGCTTCACCCTTTTCTATTTGAAGCACCTACACATTTTTTCTCGTGGTTCCGTCTGTGAGACGTTTGACTAGTGCTCACCCTAATGGATAGGGATGCGCTAGGTTTCACCTGCCGTGTGACCGACGTGCGCTTAGGGGTTGGTTCAGACTCATCTGAGTTGATTTGTTTGTTATCTTCTGCACGTCATTTTTCTCGTTATGTATACTGCCAGATAGTGCAGAGGTTTCCTTCTCGTTCAAAGCGGTGCTGTGTTTCGACTTTGTTACTCTCTGTCATTCTATAGAGTTGGTCCTCGTCATCATACTTGTACCTTGATCCGGCTTATGAACAATGATTTATGGCAGGTAAAAATGCAGTTGCTTTACAAGTCCCGCAGGATGGTGGGGGTAAAACTACAATTATCAAACGATAGCAGAGTTATCTGTTTGAGCTTTTATCTAGCAGTTACGCTGCTGAATAATAGTAGTGTAAGAGTGAATTGAATGTGCACGACGTGGCAACATGGGGACAGTTATAGTTGGTGTATTACATGCGGAAAGTAAAAACAAGTATACTCACTGCTGTCCCACATCCTCAGGTTTACGTAACATGCTAATCCGGTTTGGGCGAATAATTAGTATATTCCAGTTGTACAGTTTAGGCAACAAAGTGATGGGGGCCAAGGGCAAGATCCAGTGGTTTATTGAAATTATCCAAGGTGGGGGAGGACACAACGAAGTTTGGAAGAGAGTTCCAGTGTTGGCAAACCCGAAGAGAAAAATAATTTCGTCGGCATTCCAGGCGGCTAAACTGTGCAGACAGAGGCTTACCTCTGAGATTGGTATTATGGCTGTTTCAGCAAGTGACGGCATACGTGATTAGGGTCACTCAATATTTGGTAGACTAATATGAGGTCGCCGAGCAGACTTCGGTAGCGACCACTGAAAACTCCCAGTGACTTCAGCTTTTGATGGTAGGACAGATTTCGTACGCCCTTGACGTTCTTTGTGGCCCTGCGTTGGAATTTCTCTAGTACTTCTAAGTCGCGCTTCAACCAAGGTTGCCAAGCTTGCATGGCTAATTCAACATAAGGGCACTCGTAAGAATTGTGCAGCATAGGTCGAATCTTCCGAATGCTCTCCGCAGCAAACCGACGTGCTGGTTGGCTTTCTTCACAGCTGCCTCTGACTGCTTTGAACAGTTAAGTTCACTTTGAATGAGCACACCAAGGTCGCGTTCTTGGGAAGTTGTTTGCAACACATGTGACCCAAGCCTATACACGTAGTCATGTCTATGGCGCAATTGAACAACGTGACATTTTTCCACATTGAACGGTAGGGTATTCAAAACTGACCAGTTTGAAATCGTGTTGAGGTCGCGTTGGAGCTTTTTCTGGTCGTTCGGTTCTTTGATTGCTCGCCATAACTTGATATCATCCGCGAAGAGTAGGAAATCGGAAGTAATTTTCCTCGCCAGATCGTTTATGGAAATCAAGAATAGACGGGGCCCGAGCACCGAATCTTGTGGTACGCCGCACTCCACCTCAATTGCGTCGGACAGGGATTCTCGTACTCTCACTTCCAACGGACGTTCGTGCAGGAAATTGCCTATCCAACACAGCAGTGGGTCACCAACGCCATATAGCTGAAGTTTCTGGAGCAGAATTCGGTGGTCCAATTCGGAAGTCCAAGTAAATGAGCAACTCTTGCTCCACCATCAATTGCTTCAGTCCAGCTGTTGTGTGCAGTTTACAAGTTCGTAGTGTATAAGCGCTTTTGTCAGAAGCCATGTTGCTCTTCTGCTATCATCTTGTGATTTTCCAGATACTGCATGAGTGCATCAGCGATGATAGACTCCATAACCTTGGAAAGCACAGGGAGTAGCGTTATAGGACGGTAATTGGTTGGGTCAGTGCGACCACCTCCCGTATGAATAGGAGTGATTACCCCACACTTCCATATTGTTGGAATATGGTTTTAATCCATACAGCGCTGATAGAATATAGCCAGATGTTCCGCCAGATCACTGGCTTCTGCCTGTACACCAGGAGAGCTGTAGATACGCAGGGACAACAGTTTCTTTAACACACTTTCTGCAGTAAAAGTCATGTTGGATAAAGCTGATGGCGGTACAATAGGAACAGGGATAAACGTTGGGCCTGTTGCTCTCTGGAACGTTTATGAGTAATGGAACCATAAGTTTCTTGATGCTCTGGGCACCGCAGAGGATAACCAACGGTGCCTTATCTGCTGAATCGAGCAGGGTGGATAGGGGTTTGGATGCTACTTTTCAAGCCTTCTCGTCTTCTTATTCCCCCTCTTTACGCTTTTACCGTCCCATCCCAACTTCACTCTTATCCCCAGTTTTCAACCCCCCGATGCTTGGCCCTCCCCCAACATGTTTTGCTAGGTGTTTATCTTCTAATTTCAACTCACATGCTAACGCGGAGCGTCACTCCTCTCCTGTCGACAAGCCCATGTCCAACCAAGCGGTCCAGTCCAGTTCATCGGCTTCCATTTGGAGCCCTCGAGCCTCCTTCAGATTGGTATGCCTCAGTGTACGCTCATTGCTACAGGTCGGTCAACAGGCAGCACTTGCTTGAACATTAATGAGCCCTCTCGATCGATATCTGCTGCTTAGCAGAGACCCGCCTGCAAGACTCGAGCTCTGTGCTCACTCTGCGATCCCCTTCAGATGATGCAAGCAGTATTTTCTCATGGCGCCTATCCGGTGACGATGCAGCTTCGAGCACCGGCCAAGCTGGTGTCGGCATTGCCCTGAGTCCCCGAGCTGAAGCTGCTCTGGTTGATTGGATTCCAATCAGTAGCCGGATGTGTGCGGTCCGATTGGCTGGCTCGTTCAAAGCTTCGAAGTCGCGCGGGACTAACAGGTGTCTATTCATCATCGCTGCCTACGCGCTCACAAACTGTAGCGATGATTCGGTAAAAGACGACTTCTACCGTCAACTGACCCAGCTCCTTTGCCACAGAAGAAGCACGGATACTGTTGTGCTGGCTGGGGATCTGAACGCAGAACTTGGCAAGTTGCCCACTGATGAAATGCATTTGGGCGGTCAGCACGGTGTAGGCTCCCGTAATGATAACGATGAGCGGTTACTTCATTTGTGTGAAGATGCTCGCTTATTTCTTGCGAGCACTAACTTCCGACACAGCACCCGCCG